GAGGAGGAACAAAAGAAACGGGCAGCCAGATGAAGGTGTGTACGATATACAACATACGGTTCACTAGGATAAACAGTGTGTGATTGGGGAATATAATGGAAACGGTTAACTGAACAAGATGTGTGTGATACGCGCAGACAGGTCCATAATCTGAAATGTGTGCGAAGACTAATAATAACACAAACGATTGCTGCTAATAATTCATGTGATTTGCTCTGTCTACAGAAAAATTATATATATATATATATATATATATATATATATATATATATATATATATAAAGTCTATTAGTAACCCTTGGTGACGGTCGAGACAACGAGCCACACTCCCCGATCGCACCACCCTGGGTCTACCGGTCGCCTTCATACTGATGTAAAATTTTATCCCGTGTGATGTAATTTTACGTGGAGTCAAGAGCCCACTCCGTCCCTAATAAAGAAAAAAAAAAACAAGGCCACACCCGAGATGAAAAAAAAGAGCGAACTCCCTCGTCCAATTCTAATCAGGGGCGAGTAATAATCGGAAAAAATAAAAAAACCAGGGGCGGAGTGGACGAGGGGTGCGAGCTCCGAGCGGCGGTTGGGCTCCGGCGTCGTGATGCTCCACGGCATTGGGAGCGGCGCGTGGGATCGACGTCTCTAGAGGGTGGTCTTAGTTTCGGGCAACGCGGCGGGCCGAGCCGTCGTGTTGCGACGTCGGTAGTGCTTGGCGTCAGGGCTGCATCTCCCGTGTGGACGGCCCCTCGTCGGCAGAGTCGCCGGCGACGAACACTCGGCCGAAGACGGGGCCGCGCCATGAACCAGGGTTTAGCGGCGTCCTCGGCTGGACGACAAGCTGGTCGTGGGTGGGCGGCGCGGCGAGTCGTGTCTACTTCTTGAAGAGGTACTTTGACGCTCTCCAATCGATGCCCCAGTGATTTGCTTCAGGATCCAGCCCTGTCTGTTTGATTCATTTTTAAAAGACTTTTGTTTGATTCTTCCATTCCTACAACTTCTGCATAGATTGCTTTGTTACGCCCGACTACTCGACTAGATGGAGATCCTCACAGGCTCACAGCTATGGCTGGATATGCTTCAATAACCTCAATTTATTTCCAAAATGTTTCCAGCCGATAGTCGTAGCCTTATTTTAGTTGCCTCGGATCTTCGACTATGGCTGCAGGAGTGCACACATATAAGAAGAAAGCAGAAACATCCATCAAATACTTGACCATGATCATGATCACATAGTAGACGTTATTTGACCCAGTAGCAATTTAGTTAATATTTTTGATTGGTGGGGAACAAACAGACTAATGGTCAATTTGGTAATGTTGCGTCTAGTTCTTGTTCTGACCCACTAATCAAAAAGGCGATCAAACCTTTCTCCTTCACTCCCCGCTAGTAATTCCAAAAATAAAGCCAAAAAAGTATTGGCCATAAAATTAATTCCCTTGCCCAATATCCTACTAACTCCCTCCTCTATATCTCCTACTGCTCTCCCCATCATTTGCCAAACAGGCCATATATGGGGTGCTCTGTTTGATGGTTGCCTCGCCTGAAGCAAAACAAGAACCATTTGAATTCTGATTGGTTAGGAGAGTGGTTCGATTACTCTTCAGTTTGTTAGTCCCAAATTTGGCTGCATCAGCTGCTACAGGAGATGGCCATGTGTGTGCCACAAAATTAGCTTGATCTAAAGATAGTACGAGTAGGCATACTCTGTAGCTCCTAGTGTAGGTAGCTGGACTATGCAGCCATCTAATTGGAATTCAGAACTAGCGATTTGGTAGTTCCAACAAGTCAGGGATTCAGTATAAAGCTTAAAGGTGTTCTAATTCTAATGTATTCGAGCTTGCTCTCCTTAGTACAGGGATAGCTTTGCCTCCAAAATATATAGTGATAGCTCAAAGTTCTTCCATTATCCTGTCCAAACTGTAATATCTAGATGACATGAATCGTGATCTAAGAATTCAGTTTCTGATTTTAAGGGGTGTACAAAAAATCAAATAAACTTATGACCATCATCGTATTCACTTTGATTTGGTTTCAGCTAACCTGACCTCTCTGCGTAAATATTGAGTTAGCTGCTTGAAACTTTTTTATGCACAACATGAAAATTTATGAAGGACCACCAGGGCCTCTGTAAATTAGATAAAGGAAATGCTGAGTTAGCTCGAAAAGTTTCCACATAGATTATTGGATAAATCAGAAATTGTATCAAGTAATAACTTCAAAAAAGAAATCCCAGTGTACTTTTTATCATTTGCTATGAACATATTAATGCAATCAGTATTGCCCCCAGTCCATCAATTTATATGAGTATGTGTCTATTTACTATCCCATCCAATGTGGCTGCTCGAATGATGTGCCTATTTACTGTTTTCATGTAGCAACTTCTGTTGTTGTATAATCTTTTAGCATTACTGATGGTCTCCGTATCAGGGTACAGTGGTGGTTGGCATTCTACATGATGCGGGCGGTATCTCCTCCTACGACAACGGTCGGCAACTAGCTGTTTGCAGCCCTCCGTCATTTTACATGAGTATGTCTTGATTTACTCTCCCATGCGAAATATTTGCTTGAATTAAGTTAGATCAGTAAGAAAACTAGGTAGCAGAATTAGGATGGATTACGTCCCCAAATATATTTCTTTTGGGCATAGCCATCATACAAGCTTACATCAGATTGGCAGCTGTTCATTTCTACAAAATTCTGGTGTAGTGTTGTGATTTCCCAGATGAGTGTTGTGTTATGTGAAAATTATCATTAAACATATGTGATTAGGAGAAAAAAATGTAAAATAGCACAAAACAGATACACCCAGCAAGGTGTTTTCTATGGAATGGTTTCAATGCTCAATGTTATGAAAAACACATCCGCATGCACATTACATATGGAGCACGATGCGCCGCCTAGAACTAGTCAGATATTTTACTTTGCACGAAATTTGGTGATCTTAACCACAGAAAATAAAAAAATACCTCAAATGTATTTTCATTACTATCAAATTTAATGTGATTTGATTGTTATTATCGGGGAGGTGATACGTTCTATTTTGCAAGCGTTCATAGGACCAAAGCCAGAGTTTACAGCAGTTATGGGAGAAAACAAAGAAGGGTGGGGATTAGGACCCAGCGGCCACAGACGAAATCTGAACCCAAAGTACCAAACCACGTTTCGTTTTGTTTTTTAGGCCCCTATGCTTCTAGAACTATTATCCAATTTGATGGCTGCTACTTGGTGCGTGTGCTGGGTGTCCATGAGGTACTTCTCGGCAGCAGCATTGCCTCTCAATTTGCCAACAAGATCCATTCAGATTGTTTAATCACTGACTCTAGGATCCATGCCTACTCTAGGTAGAACTTCAGTAAGCTGCAGAAATAAACAATAGAAAGGGTAAAGAACCACTAAGCATGCCATTTACCTGATATGGCCCAGATTGTTTTATTTGAACACCATATGGTCCAAATTGTAACCAAGTAAAACTGCATGCTCGTCAAATTTTGTATGATGAAACCATAATATTAGCACTCTGAATGCACGTTTTGATTGACTACCACCCTGGATGTCATCCATGTTATTAGCTATGTTTTGTTACAGGGGATTTTGGGTACTGCCTGGATGTGTTGCTTGAGCAGAAGACTTCCATGTTTTTGTTCATAGACCGTGTCATTCTTATTTTTCTTGTACTTATCATGTACTCCCTCCGTCCCATAATATAAGAACGTTTTTGACACTAGTGTAGTGTCAACAACGTTCTTATATTATGGGACAGAGGGAGTAGATGTCATGGTTTATGGAAGAGTGTTCGGTTCAGCCATATACCATATACATGTTGCCTAACAAGTTTGTTTTCTCAATACAGAAGCTGTACGATTATATGAAACTGAAAATATTTAGTTTTCTGGCCATAACTCTGAATTTTTAGTGACTTGTTGCTTCATTATGTGGTCAATTTTTGGTTGCTACTAGCTTGCTGTAATATAGACTGTTGACTTGGACGATATAATTTATCATGTTCCTTAAAAAAATTTATGTACAATTTCTTCTCATGGATGTTAATTATCATGTCAAGCTTTAAGCTCACACTCTTGGAGATTTTTTGTTTACGAGGAGAAATCAGAGGTTTGAGGTTCCTTTTGTTACTGTATAGTTCTCTCATTTTGATCATTAACATAATTCAATTAGTTTTTGTTCTCATCGGTCTACGACATCAGTCGGATTCAGAAATTACGCTGGGTAAAACCGATGTGTTTTGTAGTCTTTTTTTTTACGTTCCTTTTTGTCGTAAAATTACATCAATAGCATCTGGTTTCTTACAGCGATTACCCTGGTTTAGTTCCTCACACATCCACAACGTAACTTGCCTTGCATGCACATCGTAAGATTACCTCAGAAGCCCTTTCTTACGGTGGTTCAGAGCGTGTGCTCGTGGGTGTGGCATGTGGTTCGTCTGTGAGGTAAATTTACGTTCAACTCTTTCTTTCCTAGTGGTTGTGGCTGTGGCGTGTGATTCGGCTGGGGTGAGATTCTTCACCCTGGGTGACGAATAGCGATTGACTCTGTGGGTTCACCGTCACAATACGCTTTTTCTCATAAATTTACGCTTTCAGTTTAAATTTAAAACATATACGTGATGTGGTACTAAATTTCATCCGTCCAATTTCGTTTTCACAGCTTCCTATCAGATGGGCCAGAAAATTTGCTATGGGCCACGAGCCGCTGCCTACCCGGCTCCAGCCGAATGCGCGCCGGCCGCTCTGGCATGGCGGCGGGTTCAGCCTCGGCGTGGACCTAAATGCTTCATTTTTACAAAAAAATATATATGTTTGTTTGAAATACAGTCTGCAGTCCTCTAATTCATCTTATCCAAACTTCTACCTTTCCAGCAACGCCGGAGGCAGTTGACGGGCGGCGCCCTGTCGTCGGACGGCTACAACGGCGATGGAGGAGAAGGCGGACGTCGTGGGTGCGTGCTTGAGTAAGGGAGGCCACCCTTGCTGTGCTCGTGGGCGTTCATGGAGGATGGAAGGGGGGACAACTTCCTGTTGGTGCGCCGGCTATGCTCGTGGGTGTTCATGGAGGATGGAAGGTGGGACAGCATTCTGTGGGTACGCCGACCGTTCGCCGCCAGCGCCGGCCGGCCTCCCCCGCCAGTCCTCTCCAGACTCCTCTGTCGTATCCGTCTCAACCTCCAACTTCCTACTGCTGTGTTGTGATTTGGATAGAAAATTGGAGGCCGGCCATGTTCTTCTCTAATATATATATATATATATACACATATATATATATATATATATAATAACACTATATTAATCATAAAATCAGAATAGTTATTCGGATCACGGTCGGCCCTATATAGGGTCCGGTCGGGATGTTTGGAACA